CTTCTTCCAACCCCCAACCTGGGGGACTAGGAGATTGGTTTGTCAGACCTCAACCTATTGGCCTACCTGGCATGAGTGACTCTATCGGTGTGTTGGTCACACCGTCCAGTTTAGCCCACTAGGTCATCGAGATGCGCAAGCCGTCACACCGCGTCAAGGTCCAATCTCGTGACGGCACGGACGATCTGGATGAACCTGAAGCGTTTTCCGATGTCCCCTAAAGCAGTTTCCATTTCGTTGACTGCTTCAGTTAGCCGAGACTAACAACTGTCCATCAAAATGGATCTTAGCTTCTTACGGATATCCCTCATGATGTAACTGGATCTATTGTCCATCAGTGCATCAGTAGACTTCAACGGATAACAACAATGAACAAAGGACGATGAACTATTCATGGTTCACTCGGAACTTCACATCCTATCCAGCCACCCAAGGCTCACACACGAAGACATGAAGAAGGATGACCCTCAAACAGATATTTATCACGTCATTCAATCCAAAGACATCATGGCCACAAACTCGTTCGTATGTATAGGATTAGTGATCAATAAGAAGACAAGGTCGAAGGATAGATCAGACAAAAGTCTAGAGAATATAGCGATGCCCCAGTAAGAAGAGAAGCGCGCAGACGGAATGCCAAGAATAGTGACGGGAGGTTGAGAACTTTCGTGAACACCAGTCACATATCTATACCAGCATTAAAAGTTATTTAAAATAGTAATGTTCTAGACGTTTTACAAAACAAATGCTTTTCGGGGAACCGGAGATTTCTATGGCACCTTCCAAGCTTGTTACATTCATTCTCTTGAGGGATATTTCGTCTGATAGTTGATAATTGTATGGGTGTCTCAGAGATCTAACGTTTGTTTAACCTACTAACCACCGCGAGCATGTTGTAATATCAGTTTCAACAATGGGCTGGGGTGTGGGTCAAGCAGCTTCTAGGATCTTCGAGGTTATAAATTAGCATTCTAAGCTTGTTTAAAACTTAAGCTTCACAGCCAGCCTGATCAGTTTCTCGTCAGTTAGCCGCTGCGATTAGTAGAGTCGGTGATCTGCGAAATTTAGAACAAAACGACAACATAGAAGTGCAATAAATGAATCTGAGCACATGTTCCGTCAGGTTCTACAGTCCGAAATGAACCCACGTCACCTATAACTAACAGGTATGTGGTTTACCTCAGACTAGGTCCGATTCTGAGCGGGAAATCGCCGGGTACAACGATGACACGCACAATGTCTAAAAATAATGCAGGCAAAAAATAATCTGTGCTCGGAGTACGGTTGCAACAGTCGCCAGCCGTCATTCAAGCTATATGATGCTAGCCCAAATCTAATACTTAAAAGAGATTCGGTCTCACCAAGGCGGACGGCCTGGGCGCATCTGTGGACAGCAGTTTTGAGTGATTTCTACTTTAAGTAGAATTCGATTACCCCCTACAGTCCCTCTACATGATAATTGATGTTCTAAGTGGAATAGTCGAAGGTTTGGACAACCTTAGGGCAGAACTTCTGCGAGTAGCAAGCTTACTAATAGAGTATGCGGGCGATATTGCTTTACTTCGTTTCTCTGAAGACAACATATCCACCATGTTCGACCGGTAAGTGAAGTGACTGGCCTGTATAAGATGCAGTTTGTATCCTTAATGTGTGAAGTGTAGTTGCAATATTACTGACTCTGCAATTATCTATATCAATGTACAGAGATGCTACAATACATTAGTCCCTTTAAATTACTCCCTAATATTCTCGACGAGATGTCTATGAGGATAACAAGGGAACGAGATGTAGGCGCAAATCTCTACAAACATATTCGATTGTCAATTTAATGGATGGTTCGAAATGTGTGTACACGCTCTCAAGAACAGACATCTCGTCCATTCACACAGATGTATGCGATCCCTCTGTACTTGACCACCGTTGTTATCTTCTTTAGATATTAGAGCCTATTGTGTTTGCAACGCCAGTCCTTGATGTATTTATGGAACATTCCCAAGATCGCGACCAATAACCAGAACTATATATATGCAGTTTACGTCAACTGCATCACGTTATCAATATGCTGGCGTACCGTCTCCCATATTTCACATTATACAATGCTTTTGTTGATGGTTACAAGAAACCGCAATGACCTATTATCGACACTGTCACACGATATGAAAACCTTGAATACACGGCTGGACGGGGCTGAATAGCGCATGACCATCCGCATCGGTGGCTGAAAACGCTCTCGAGCATAGCAGTATGCTGCAGTCAGTGGTAAGCTAATATTTGCAAACTTGTTGCACCTGCTTGTTCATGAGATTTCAGCGTGGTGACTATCCTTTCTTCTTCATACATCTGAACTTATTTATCTGTCTGTGACTTCATGGACTATTATGGAAATCATGACATTCCGCGTCATGTGCACGGCTCAGAGATGTAAAAGCATGTATGTATGTATGCACCACATTATCTCACGATGGAAAGAAGAAACCTATATCAAATAAGTAGTTCATCAACGTGGATTCATTGGCGTAAACATTTCAGCTGAACTCTCATGCGTGGCAGAAATGCGACTTTTCTGGCCCTTCCGTCAACTAGGACCAAGGGTAGAAACTACTACGGTCTCGAAGTATGTCAAATGAATGCAATCAACCAGTTTTACGTAGTACGTTAACACTCTCGAGGAAAGCCATTCGAAGTGATTGAAACGTTGAGTATTACGACTTGCTCGTAACGTTGTATCATCCTCAATCCACTCATTACTAACATGTTAGACATGACGCCCCAAATGGTTTAACTTTTTTCGTATTAGATTTGGTGCGAACATCTTACAACAGTCTTACAGACTTCAAAAAACGCGCGTGGTGGGCTTCTGTTACATCCACGACCGTACTGTACCTTGAGAATCAATTAGATAAAGATGATTATGCACGTTCATGGACGTTCATACACTGGTGTAGCACGTTTTCTCGTCCTTTGATGTCATAAAAACCATCGTCATGCACGGTTAATAGTACTTGTGGGAACGTTGTTTGAACAAGTTAACTGCATTCACAGAAATTAGAAATTCCCAAATTGTAGAGGAAGACCGTGACGAACAATTGTTTTCCATAATCTATCATCAGATCAATACAAGCATATAGGTTTAATGAAGTTATTAAAAAGTGTGTTAACAACACAGAGGTTGTAGAACGTCACAAAATTTTCAAACATCTATAAGCTAGTCACTCCGACAGCAAGTCACCAGTGTTAATGATGAGTGGTTTGTAGTTCCACCCACCATTACCTCACAGTTATCGGTTGGAGTTTGGACGGGCATGTAGACCGATTGTGCAATCTCTGGCCACGGCAGCTGCAGGGCGTGTAGGATCTAAGTTGTGATAACGCAAAATCGGATTACGCAATCGAATGGCGACCGATTCTGCATTTGTTGTCTGAACACTATTTGAGACGGTTGACTGGAACTCTGTAGACCATAGAGAAGGCTTGAGTGGGATCAATCCGGTGATCACTATGGGCTAAATATGCGACGACTGCACTCCTGGTAGATTTGGCCAAACCAATCCCGGGGCGCGTTGGATAATACCTTTTGATCCAATTTTACAAACATTGCATCGTGTAGACCTATATATTCCGCTGCATAACAACAGCAGTGTGAGTGTATAATCATGTTTTTGACCACCCCATGATTGCGTCTTCAAAACACCCATCATTACCACTGGTGACTTGCTGTCGGAGTGACTACCCTATAGATGCTTGGAAGTTTGGTAACACCCAACGTGATTTAATGGCACATTGATAAACTTCCCTGTATTGCTAATAAGTAGTATGGTAGATTTCTGAATTTAGATGAGGCCCAACTGTGAAAACTCAGGGCTTCGGCTGGATTCGAACCAGAGACGGAAAGACCATGCCTCAATGCGGCAAGCGCTCTACCAGCTGAGCTACAAAGCTACGTCAGAAGCTCGGAAATTTCACATTTGCACTCGGTTACCCACCCGTCCCACTGTCTCATACGGAATCCACCGAATGATCCAGAGGATCGATTGCCCTGGCAGTGTAGCAACCTCCTAGAACATATTTTTTGTTGTTGTATAATTTGACGCCTCCTGATGAAGCATGTTTGTTTAGCCCAATTGTATCCCTTATCTCCGCTGGCGTAGAAATTCTTCACTTTTTCGTTCCGCGCGCTACACGCAGGATGCTAGTAGGCTGTACTTTTTTTTTGGGATTCTCGGTCGTGGTAATATATAGAGTATTGCGCTGTTCGTGGTGTTCTGAATTATTGTCACCGGGTAACTCGTCGAACCTAGAGTGAGACTTTGTGGGAAAGTTCCCACAGCAGGATTTCTCAAACAGTTCACGCCAGAATCCACTAACGCCACTGCCAAGCATAGAAACTATATTACTATTAATAATAACCGAGTCCAAATGTGAAATTTCCGAGCTCCTGGAGTGGCTTCGTGGCTCACCTGGTAGAGCGCTTGCCACGTTGAGGCGTAGTGTTTCCGTCGTTGGTCCGAATCCAGCCGAAGCTTTGACTTTTTACAACTGGGCCACATCTAAACTTCTCTGTGTTATTTACATAGTTTTTATTTCACTGAACCTACACAACGATATTGATTTGATGGTGAATTATTAAAAACGATCGTTCGATCGGAATTTTCACGAGAATTCATGAATAAGAAACCAGGTCACCACAGATTGTCACCAAACACTTGCCGTCTATTATTGCTTGACTAACAAAAGCACTTTATCAGTCAACTAGCCTAATCGTCTGATAGCTCTCTCCGAAACAGGACTGATCAATTCTAGAGCTGTTGTACTCCCAATTTTGTCCGTGGCCGCATTTCAGACCATTGCACGAATTTGCGCTCTAGGCTTTCAGTCACTTTGTTAAAACAGCTAAGTATGGTTGTATAAGCCAACACTACAAAGTAAGATGGCCTACACACTAACGTTCCGATTCCACCTAGTCAGTTACTTTTGCGAAACTACCAAGCAAAATATACAGCGAAAGAAAAGCAACAAAGCAAAGCTACGCTACCTTGCATATCAATTAATTGGTGCGCTACAGACCGTAAGAGCACAGCTATGAATGAGAATATTTGGAGCAGTAAGATCCGGAGGAATGTCTAGAAATGTAATGAACGACTGCCGCGCAGCCACAGTCATCGCGCTGGATGCAGCCAAGAATGCGTTGATTATATCGGTGTTATGAAAATTATCCGCAGAGAGTAAAATCTGTCATCAAACAGCGAATTTATGAAAGATCCGCGAATATCTGGTGGTATCGTTCGAGAATATGAAAACCGTGGGGTTTTGCAACAAAAGTTAACACGAGCTTTCAAAGGTTTGTTTCAACCGACCGTCAATCGGTTTGTCTTTCACTTGGCACCAAGATAGAAAATATGTTTTCATCTGAAGTAGCTTTTTATGTTTTAGTTGACCGTCAGACGTTGATGAATGATTAAGTGTGTATAAATTTGAGTTTAGGTGATGAATTACCTACAGGGATTCAAAGATCTATTCGAAGATCGGGAATTTTCTAGCTTCCAGGAGTTTCAAAGTTGTTTGGAAAAATGTATGAAGGACCACAGTGTTTTGTACGTGCTTAGTTTAAGCAAAAAATCAAGCAATGGACGCTTGAAGTATGATACTGTGAGTGTGAGTACTACTGAGGATACGTGGTAGATGGCGTACAGGTGTACCAAGTACAAGCGACGTCGGAGCGAAAGCCGCGGATTGCGACGTGTTTAGTGAGTTGAGTTTACTTACTTTCAATTGCTCAGTTCTCGTGATACATGCTGTCAATCATGCTTTAACGTCGCTAGGAGGAAAATGATGTTGGTTGTTAACTCTTTCACATTAGAGCACAACCACGACCTAACTACCTTGCTGTACGCTACAAACCCAACAAAACGTCGGCTCACTGCAAGTGAAGTGAGCGACTCTAGGCATCTGTTCGAGTAAAACACTGCAACTGCGGAGTGAAGGCAATATGCTGCGGATGTTTATGGTAAGTATATAACGACAATGTATATTTGCAACATCCGTCATCGTTTAAAACCTCCTACAATGAGTTAACTCAATGGTTTGTGTACAACGACGACGCAGAAAATCTGCCCCAAATTCTTGATCATATAGAGAAGAATGTTGTACTGCGTGTCATCAAAGACGATAATAATAGATACACGTACATATGTTTCGCGCGGAAGCAGCAAGTGCAGTCGTTCAGACGTTTTCCTGATGTGGTCAACGTCGATGCCACGCATGGAACCAACCGCCACAACTATGTCCTCTATCAGTTCACAACTGCGATTGTAGCTTGAAGCTATATCTGTTTCTTGTCACAGACAGGTTGGGCCATGGAAGACCCGTGCTGTGTGGCTACTTTCGGAGTGAAAAGTACGCTTTCCTGCTTCGTTTGCTCGAAACATTTCCTGATGTGATGGGGGATCACATACCTGTGAGGACGTTTGTGGTGGACAAAACGGCGGCCCAAATGTGAGCAGTGCGAGTCATATTTTTTGTGCAACATAATGCTATGTTAATTCCATGTTCGAGATGCCGTGAGGAAACACGTAAGCTGGTGTAGTTGACCCTATAATCATCATTTAGACAAATTCATTTAGAAGTCGCTATTTGTTTAAACGTATGGCAACTTTAGATAACTTAGAAGAGTGGGTGAAAACTTTTGTCTATTTATGGTTAAGGTTCAACCAAGATGTTGCGCTAATCAGACGCACAGACCAAAGTTTATGAACTACTTAATGAACAACTGGTTTTATATAAAGCCTAAGTGAGCCATCCATGCACAATCAGACGTCGTTCACTTCGGGAACCGAACGAACAACTTTCTGGAGAATGCAAATGGGCGAGTATAGAAGCGAGCTCACTCACGAGATCACTTAGCCACAGCCATCAGTTAAATGAAGACGATCACGTCGAATTAGCGATGTACACCGATTCCTTAGGATAGCGTATATTTTTTGGTCAGCTTCAGATTCTGATAGTCGATAGCACGTCCAAGTATACCGCTTCTTCAGAATGGGTTTGAGTGTATTAGGGCGTAGTTGACGTGGAGGCTTGTTACGTTTGGAGCCTGATAATGGTGAAGATTCATCTACGGCTGAAGAAACGATGGCAGTAAGCCTCTCACAGAGATCATCAACAGAGTGGAGTGGGGGTGTAGTTCGTCCATGACTGCACTTCAAAGTAGCCGTGAAGTTTCTCCACATCCATTTTCCGGAAGATTCTGCGATTATTAGTCGTTGAGCTGACCAGATTCGTGGTACAAATGAAGTCGAATAAGACGACCGCGTGGTCACTTAGTACGAGTGATGCGGTGATTGTAAAGTTGTCTACCGTCAACTCTTCGTTAGCGAATAAGTAATCCAGTCGCGAAAGATTATGGTCAGTACGCCACCGTGTGAAACTAGATATGTGCTCTGTAAAACCCAATGCCCCGACTGTGTGAAAAAATCATGCAAAATGGGGTTTACAGTGCCTGCGTACAAGAAGGCCGGAAAGTTGATTTCGGGTATGTTGAAATCGTCCATTAAGAGAATGTGGGTAAATCCTAGAGTGGGTAAAACTTCCAACCCAGATAATAACAGTTCGTCTTTAGAATTATCAGAAGATGGAGGACGACAGGGTAGCTCTACTAGCCAGCGCTCTGAACCACTTGAGCGAATCCACAGTTGGACCTCTTCACCATCTCTGGGGCGACTAAGTATAGATTAATTCGTAATCCTCGAAGTCATTAGAGTAGGAACACAGTCAAATATCAATAAAACAACGCGGAGAGGAATTCGAACTAAGTGTTCAAACATTACGCTTGGTATGATAAAAATGTTTAACACATTAAAACAAACTTATTTCTTACAACAAAGTGGACACACTTCATGCTTTCTGAAATACTCCGTCAATTACCATCCGGAATATATTAAAACTCACATATTAACGGTTTACTCATGTGGGTATTTACTCCCTGCGGATAGTTTTTAGCATCGGTGTCATAAATCACCAAATAAACCACAACAGGGAGACACGATTAGG